TATGATCAGAGCAAAGCGTTTAATTGTGCGTGAATAATCATTTTCAATTCAACTTCAAGTTCATGAGCAAAAATCAAGATTTTGCAGGATTTTTGTGCACTTGTCTGAAAACGTTAATTTTTGACTCAACAGTCAAGCCCAAACCAGTATCAAGCAAGATTTTAACGAACATTTCAGTATTTTCACAACGAAGCTTTTTCTATGGATCCTGAGAATTAGGTCGTTACTAGTTTGTGTGTTTATGTTTAAGCTCATTTAAAAAAATCGAAAAATTTTGAAAAACTTGACTGAATTTTTGGCGCGGTGCATTTGAGGAGCAATTATGCACTTTTTCATCCCCCACGCCCAGAAATTGATCTCAATAATTTCCACTTTGTGTTCCATCCCAATCTCAACTTTCCCTTGTTTCAAAACCAGTTCAAATTAATATTTGCTCACATTATCTTATTAATTTACCCCACTGTCGAATCTATACTGATACTTGAAGGCTTCCAAAGGCCGGATCTGATTAGCCCTTAGCAAAACGATAAAAGATTGAAGAAGCTCATGAAAGGCAAATTTCCCCTTGAAAGCTGGAAAGCCTGTGTAGAGTCTCTACAGGTGCTTTTTTCAACATTAAGTCAATACCTAATGAAAGTTAAACGAGCCTGGGGGCGACTGGCAATTCATTTTTCAAAGTAGAGAACAGAAGGAACTGCAAGGTTTTTCTTTCGCGACGGATGAAAATGTATCCGCTTGATTTACCGAGGATTTTCTGTCTTCGATTTGCCGAATTAATTCACCTTCCATTGTGCCCGCTCAGTTTGTCACGCGCTTTTTTTTAAACAATGAGGAATCGAAATGATAGTAGGGGGCAACCCCCGACTCCTGCAAAAGTTATCGTCCCCTTGATCTTTTTCGGGGCCCCGCAATCATCGACTTTCAGGGCAATTTTAATATTATAACTCATAGCTGCTTGTTCTGGCCGATTGCGGTTAAAGCAAACTCACGTTCCCTTTTCCTTTCGGCTTGTTCAAGTATAATTGGGGCCTACCATCGTCACGAAATGTACTCATGGTTCCCAGAATTTCATGTCGATTCCACTGAACTTTACCAGGAAAGTTTCATCGAAAGCTGTTTAGGGCGCTTGCAATGTTTGGTCGATATTTCCATAACGTGCACGTTAATGGGGAAAGTTGATTGAGCTCAGGCTGGTGCTGAATGAAAACAATCGATCGGTTTAAAAGGTTGCTGTTGGCTTACCTTAAAGGGTGGATAAATTTGAACATTCGGTCACAACATATGCTTGCAGTGAAAATGGTTAAGCTGAGTAAAATGGGGGCGTTTGAAACGATGAGAACAATTTGAATGAACTATGAAGTAAAGGAGGATCATTTGTGACACGCATTTTTTTGAAAATTTTGGGTTTTAGCGACGGAAATGGGAGAATTGTGAACTCCTTTAGTAGTAGAAAGAGAGTAGGAGAGAAGGCACTTAAAAGCAAGGAAAGCAGCACCTAAATTACTACTACTAAAAAACGTTGATCAGAAAAAACGGGAATAAAGGAAATTCAGTTTAAAGTTCTTCAGCCGGAATTGTTCGTTGGTGTGTCATGGTGCGATATTTTTAAGCCGCCCAAAGAGCCTCGAAAGTTGCGTATTTTTAAGCCTCAATATCAAACCCCTGAGTTTGTTAACAGTTTTTGGTTTTATCCTCAAACCCAACCCTAAAACTCACCGTTTCTAAATTATTCTAATAATTATAAGTCTGACGTAAATGATTAATTTTACTCTTACACACTTTCTTTTAAAAAATTGTAACATTTCATGGAGATCGAGCAAAATTTTCAAATTTACACTATCTATAGAAGAGAGTTGGCTCTTTAAGTTCTGGAAATTTCGTTAAAATACCGTAAAACCTAAATTTTTGCTCACCAAATCAATTCTGGCTTGAAAAGGTTAATTTTACTCATGTACACACTTTCCTTTGAAAAACTGGAATTTTCCATGAAGGAAAAGTACAGACATGAAATTTGCACTATTTATAGGCGAGATTTGGACCTTTAAGTTGTGAAAATTTTATTAAAATCGTGCAAAATTCGAATGTTTGCTAGCTAAGTCAATTCTGCCTTAAAACCATCAATTTTGCACACTTAGACGATTTCCTCTAAAAAATTGTAACTTTCCCTCAAGATCAAGTTGAAATTTGAAATTTGCACGATTGGTACAAGAGATTAGAGAGATCTTTAAGTTCTGGGAGTTTGAGTAAAATCCTGCAAAATCCATATGTTTGCTAATTGAGACAATTTCAGGCTTAAAATGACCACTTTACTTATGTACACGCTTTGCTTTAAAAAATTGTAACTTTCCATAGAGATCAAGTACAAACATGAAATTTGCACTATTTATAGAAGATATTCGAGTCGTTAAGTTGTGAAAATTTCATTAAATTCGCTAAAAATCTCAATGGTTGCTAACCAAGTGAATTATGGTTTAAAATGACCAATTTTATACACTTACACGATTTCCTTAAAAAATTGTAATTTTTCCTCGAGATCAACTAGA